GCGCTCACCTCAGGCTTCGTCCGCGGCGGCTGCTGCTGCCGCGCGAGCCGACTGCTACTGCGGCGCGCGCCGACCTCTCCGGCTCCTCAGGCGCCCACAGGACAGACCTTTATCCGGGTCTCTCTTGGAAATACAGTGCTAAATCCGATAGTTCCTCCTCAGTCACCCCCGCCCCCCCGTCCCTGGGCACGGAACATTCTAGTAGCTCCCCCGCCAGTTCTGGGCTTGATCATTTCCCTTCCCAATCATTCAGTCAGTCACCGTTTTATTCGATTATCATTTGTGATGGGCACCTTGTACCAGGCATTGTGCGAGGGTCGGGGTACAGTACGTACCCAAATAACGCCCCCTCGCTCCCCTTCAGGAAAGTGAGAGTTTAATCTACACTCAGGCAGCTCTTGCCAAGCTTTATCCAAATTCCTCCATTCCGAGGATGTGTCCCTCTCCTGTACTCATTCCCCGTCTCACTTCCGTGAGGGTGATTCCCACTTCCATTATAGACACCTAAGTTAGGTAGAAATGTTATAGGCAGTCAGACAGGGCTGGGCTGTGTACAGAACCTCCAAAGGATACAGGGGGAATCCTATAACTCTCAACCTGCTAGATGTCAGAGACACAGAGTTTGTGTTCACCAGAATCAAAGGATAAATTCTAAGGAATAGCAGGTGGATGTTCCGAGTAGGAAATTTTATTGACAGACAGCTCTTGAGAGACAGAAGGGTGCTCGAGTGAGTTGCTGTAGATCCCATTTTCCAGAGGAAGTTTTGTAGAGCAAAATCACCAGGTGTGTACAAGGTGGGACAAAACTATGACCAACCAATAAGATTACAAGTATATATAAAAATAAAGATTACAAGTATAGCTGCTTAGGTAATGTTAATTCAATGGGGAAGCAAGTGGTGTAGCAAGTGTTCGTGAAAAGAACAAGGAAGAGATGTGTTATGAGGTCCTGGTCACCCACCTGGGTGATTGACTGGTGCCTATGTAGACTTTATTGGATCAGGTGATACCAATAGTAGTATATTGCTTATTCCGTAGGGAGCCATATAGGCCTGGTCATTCAGTATTTATCTTGAGGCCTGGCCTTCAACAGATGCACCTCCAGCCACAATTGTTATGTATTCTCATCTTCTGCACTGGCTCCTGTCTGACTGCCTATAATATTTCTACCTAACTTAGCTGGCTGTAATAATTGGATCAACACTAAAGAAGCAGCTATGCTTTTGTATTATTGGTTGATCATAGTTTTGTTCCAGTTTGCACCCATCTTGTGATTTTGTGCTATAAAACTTGCTCTGAGAAGTGGGCACATTGGGAATCCAGTCAGGCCCCCTCCTGACTCTCAGGAGCTATCCTGCTCAATAAATATTTCCTATTTTTTAAAAAAAATTTGATTAAGTTTGTCGGTACATTTTAGGTATACATAATGATCACATTCATCATAGGGAGTTTGTACCTGTACATGAAATATGTCCTACTCTTAACCTCTTTTGTTCTTTAGAATTCATTCTTCAATTTTGGGGAACACGAACTTAAATTCCTATATTTCAATATTAAGGATAGCTTTTCTGTCCCAGACAGTCCAAATTAGTCTTCCTGTCTCTAATCTTCACATTTTCCTTTTATTCTGATGTTAAAATTATCCTTGTAAGAATATTTTAAGCATGCCATTCTTTGATTTAAAAACTACTTCTTCCCGTTTTTGGTTGTATGGTACGTTACAATTGACCCCACCTACTTTACCAAAATCAAGCCCAATAGTTACCTACCTCAACTCCAATAGTAACCTTACTCCAAAACCATGCCTGGCTATAAATTTTTATTTTTAATTAACACATAATTGTAGATGTTTATGGGGGTAAGTGTGGTATTTTGATACATGTATATACATTGTATAATGATGACATCAGGGAAGTTAACATTTTTGGGATTTTTTTTTTGAGACAGGGTCTCGCTATGCAGTTCAGGCTGGCCTTGAGCTCACTTTGTAGCCTAGGCTGGTCTCAAACTTGCAAAGATCCTCCTGCCTCTGCCTCCCAAGTGCTGTGATTACAGGCATGTGCATTCAGTTAGCATTTTGAAATGAAACATTTAACTTTTATTTGGACAAGGATCTTACTATGTAGCCCAAGTTGGCCTCGAACTCAGGGCAATCCTCCTGCCTCAGCCTCCTGAGTGTTGGGATTATAGGCATGCACTACACACCCAGCCCACTTTAACATTTTGAAGTGAAAATAAGTTCTGAACTATGATGGCAATGGAAGGAAAAGGATGGACTTACACTGTTTATGAATCAAAATTATCAGGACATGGTGGAAATTTACATATGGGTATGGCAGTCAGCCTCCAAGATGGATAACTGAAATCCTCATAGTCTGTCTTGCAGTGGGACCTCCCACAGTGCACTAGGGTTGGGTTATGTGACCACCTGAATGTGGCAGTTGAATGTTACTCTTGAAGCTAGGTCATAGAAGATAGTGTGGCTTTTGCCTTGCCTTTCTAGGTAAATTGCTCCGAGGAAGCCATCTTATGTTGTGAGGACATTCAAGCAACCCCACAAAATCTATGCGGAGAACAACTGCCAACAACCAGCACCAATTTGCCAGGCATGGGAGACATCTTGGAAGTAGATCTCCAGCTCTAGTTAGTCCCTTAGATGACTGCAGCCATATTTGATATCTTGACTGTAAGCTCATTAGAAACCAGAGCCAGAGCACCCAGCTAACCCACTCCTAAAGACACTGTAGAAGATAAATGTTTATTGTTTTGAAGCACCAAGTTTTGAAGTTAATTTGTTACATTTTTGTGCAGCCTAGATAACTAATACAAAGGTAGGTGAAAGAGGAGAAACCAATAATTACCTGCAAGACTATAAATTAGAGGACTATGTGCTTTAAGAAAGAATTGGGATTAGGATCAGGGGGATAGTTGTGTTCAGGACCTGCATTTGCCTTCTCTGTAGGTTATTCAAGTGGTGCTGTCCATAGCCAGTATTTGACCCTCACCTCCAGAGGCCTACTTATCCTTGAAGACTCGGTTCAAATGTTTCTTCTTCCGTGAAACCCTCCTTTCTCAGACAAAAATCTACCCCTTTTGACACACGTTATTACAGAAAACATAATTGCTTTGTGTTACACTTATCTATTCGCAGTTATTTGTTTACATTTGAGAGGCTCATTGCAGTGAGTTCCCTAAAGGTGTCATCATCTCTTTGTGTGTGTTACGCTGTGTTCAGTACAGCGTAGTAATTCCGAGGAATTTGGCGCGTCTACCCACTTACGTATTTTCCCCTACAGTACAGATACAGGGATTTGAGGTTTTCGAGCGACAGGGGGCAAACTCGCCGCTCCTGAGAGTGACGTCCCCAGCCCACTTCCAGTACGACTCCCACCTTCACCTGTGTCTAGCGCCGCCTCTGCCTAAATTGTGCCTCTTTTCCGTAGCCCCGCCCCTGCTCAATTCTGATTGGCTTGAGGAAGAAAGCGATCCAACGTTGCTCTCTCTCTGGAGGGGGCGGAGCCAGGTTGTTTCGCTCGCGGCGCAGGCCGAGTTCTGCCGAGGAGACCCGAGTGGGGCCGAGGCCCGCGCCGCGGCGGCTCTGAAAGGAGGCGGCTGGACACACCGCACCCAACAGCCAGGCGGAGCCAGAGATGCCGGCCCGGGCTGCGCGGCCCCGCCCGGGCCCCCGGCCGTCTCTGACCTTGCCCTTCCCGCCGCTGCTGCTGCTGCTGCTCGTGGTGCTGGGCGGCCCCGTGTCCGGCCGCGTCCCACGTTCGGTGCCCAGGACCTCGCTTCCCATCTCGGGTAAGGCGCGGGCGCCCTCGCCCTCAGTCCCTCCCTCGCACCGCGCCCAGCCCTCGCCCGCAGGTGTCATCTCCACCCCATCCCCAAGCCCGGCGGCGGCCCCCGGGCGCCCCAACGCGGTGCACAGCGTCTCGCGGCGCCCACGCTCGTCTGGAACCCGGATGAGATCCCCACGCGGCGCCGCTGCACCCCTCGCACCTCGGCTACGCGACACGCCCAGGCTGCTTCCTCAGCCTCTGTTCCCAGAGCCGCTCAGTCCCTCGCCGTGCAGACGGACGCGGAGGCCCAGGGAGGGAGTGGGTTGCTGCAGGCTGTCCATGTGTCTCAGTGCTCCCTTTCCTGTCCTGTCTTGTTCCACCCGCAGTACACCCACGTCCATCACTTCAGGTGGAAGCCTTTCGCACCAGCCCGTTCATTCTTTCAGTCTAACCCAGCCGCCTCCCTGGATCCGACCTCTATCCCCAGCTCCACCGTCCCGACTTACCTGTTATCGCTCACATTCTCACAGTCACCCAAAACTCTTGCCCTGCTCACAACCTTAGTCTTCGTAACCGTTTCCCAGGCCTCTCCCATCTCTGACGCCACCTCCCGTCCTCCCATTACCGGATTCGTCTTAATCTCTGAAATTCCTCATGGCTCCCTGATCCGTCTGCCCCTTCACGACATTAAATGTTGGGAAACCATTCAGTGAGTTGATGGAAAATTCTGCGTAAATGATTTTGAGAATCTTCAGAAAGAAAAAGAAAAAGAAAAAGGAGAGGAGGGTCATGTTTCTTTGAAAAGATGTGGAAGAAGCCAGGGGAAGCCTCAAGGTTAAAGGTAGTTACTCACACGTTAGAGGCTGCTGAGGTGGGCACTACTGTGGCGTGGACCTTGCTTCTTCTCAGTATTAACGCGTTGGGCAGACAGAACCAGTGAAGCCGAGAGTACAACCTGTTGGTGAAAGCTCCCAGAACTGGTCCGTGGTAATTTAGAATCTATACATAGGCGAGTGACAGGTAGGGATGTTATGGCTCCAGAGAGCAAAGTTGTGGTCAGAGGTTGGGATTTCAATTCGTGCTGGAGCAATATCCACATAGTTAACATTGCCAGGCTGAGTTGATGTCCAGGAATCTAGAGGGGCCTAGAAGGCAAGGTGAAACAGTGCCTTGGAGATATGAAAGGAGGCTGGATATTTCAGGGCCTGTACTAAGCATGAGAGTAGAAAGAATATAGCCAGAGAGGAGTGTGGGAGTGTGGGGAAGGATGAGGCTGGTGGGGCTTAGGTCAGGATATCTCAGAATGAATGGTCTGGTGGCCAGTCTACTGTCTGGAGAGCACTTGAGCAGACAAAGTGGGTAGAGCAGAGCTGTACTGGTGCCGGTGTAGAGTCCCCAGAGCCAAAGGCCAAGCTAAGAAGGTAAATTCATGAAAAGTTACTTGTATGATCTTTGACTAGATAAGAGTTTTTAAAGCTGATATATGAGTTTTATATTTGGCAAAAACAGAACCCATGCCTAAGGAAGAAAGGGTCCATTTGTAAAACACACAAGGTGTGCCAGGTGTTTCTGTGTATGTTATCTCATTTAATTTTCTCAACAACCCTGGATGGTGGTTTTCCAGATGAGGAAAGAGACTCAGAGAGGGCAAGGAACTTTCTCAGGATCAAACATCTGGTAAGTGGAAGAGCCACATTTAACTTAAGGCTGGACTATTTCTGGAATACATACTCTTTCCACTATACACTCCGTCTGTTTGGGTGGAACTGTAGACAAGAGAGAAGACAGACTCCTGATGTGTTGGCAGAAGAGTGAAACATTTCAGCCAGACATGGTTGGTGCGTGCCTGTGATCTCAGGACTCTGGAGAGCTGAGATGGGAGGATCACAAGTTCTAGCCTAGCTGGGGCAGTTTAGCAATTTAGTAAGCACTGTCTCAGAAAGTGGGTGGGGAAGACTGGAGATGTAGCTCAGTGGGAAGTTCCTGGGTTCAAGTCCTAGTATCATACATAAATAAATGAATGAAAAATAAATAAAGCATTTCTAAGCAAGAGGAAATTACTATGCAGCAGTGATTTAAAAAAAAAATTAGCAAAGTGGCCCGGCATGGTGGCACATACCTGTAATTCCAGCACTTGGGAGACTGAGGCAGAAGGATTGCTATGAGTTCAAGGCCAACCTGGGCTGCAAAATGAGTTCTAGGCCAGCCTGAACTTTATAGTGAAACCCTGTCTCAAAAAGACAACAAAAAAATTAGGAAAGTACTTGTACCTTGATAGTTTCAAGTTGTATATTATAGTGCTATGGGCAGAAATTACAGACTTAATATTAATGCTGTTATTTTAATAAGGTGTTTCATTTTCATAGAAAAAGCATCCTTGACTGGATTGTGTGCTAAGTATTCTAGTCTCATCAGTTGTCTATCTTTGTGGAAACATAGATGATTGACTTGTCAAGGCTCTGTTTTTTTCCCCAGTGGCTGCCAAATAAATGGTACTTGGATGGAAACAAAAATTGGCCCCTTTGGCTTTGCCCTTGTGGACACAGAACTTATGAATCAGTGGCTGATATCATTTCTCCTTCTTCTCTCTTCCGCCAGAGGCTGACTCCTATCTCACCAGGTTTGCAGTCCCTCATACGTACAATTACTCTGTTCTCCTTGTGGATCCTGCTACCCAGACACTTTATGTTGGCGCCCGGGACAGCATCTTCGCTTTATCTCTGCCCTTCTCAGGGGAGAGACCCCGCAGGGTGAGAGATGAGAGTGGGCGGACATGAGTGCCCAAAAGCATTTGCTAGATTCATAGTTGTATAGGCTGTGGTGGAGGGATTCATTACTGAAGCTATAACTGGTGATGGGGGGCTGCTCTTTCATTGTCTCACCTGAGTGTGACGGGGTTGTGGTGACTGGGGAGGCTACCGGAGAGGTTCATGGTAATGGGGAGTAGGACACAGTGACCAGGTTTCAGGGGACAGTACATTAGAGGGATTATTAGAACTGTCATATTTAGTGAGGCGGCTTTCAAACTTTTTTGACTACCCAATGGTATTGTGTCCCAGTACACAAACACGTACTGCGGGAAGTTTCCTGCTCACAGTAGTTTTCAGTACTCACTGAAAACCCTTCCCAGCCTCCCACCCACCACCCCAAACAACTCATCCTGGGGGTCAGAGATGGTTAGAGAGAATCAGAAGCGGCAAGTATGCAGAAGGGTAAGCTAGATTCATTACTACATTCTGATATGTGCTACTGTATTTCATTAAGAACAGTGTTGTTTGTGGTTTCACAATTGATTTTGTTGCTCATGAATGGGCGGTGACCTCCAGTTTGAGAAGCAATAGTTTAGGTGGAGCGCAGAAGTTCCCGATTGATGGGGATTATGGAACTGTCTCACCCTACCTTGATCTTGAGGGAGTTGAGGGTGGAGGGAATCTGCAGAAAACAGCCGTGTCTCCTTTCTCAGATTGACTGGATGGTGCCTGAGGCTCACAGACAGAACTGTAAGAAGAAGGGCAAGAGAGAGGTAGGTATAAATCCTGGCCCTGTCCTGAATGTTCACTGAGTCCTTGGCCCAGCCTTGATTTGCGGTCAGTCCCCTGTTGCTCCCATCATGAAGGGCTCAGGCAAGGACTCTTAACACTCTGCCATCACCCATCACCCCGCTCCCAGAGCTGCATCTAACTGTCTTGACTCTAGCTTACCCTTCTGCATACTTGCCGCTTCTGATTCTCTCTAACCATCTCTGACCCTCAGGATGAATGTCACAATTTTGTCCAGATTCTCGTCATTGCCAATGCCTCTCACCTCCTCACTTGTGGCACCTTCGCTTTTGATCCGAAGTGCGGGGTTATTGTGAGTGACAGGGGTGGGAGGAGAGGGAGAAGGAGCCTGCACCATTGTGAGTTGTTTGGGGTTGTGGGTGGGAGGCTGGGAAGGGTTTTCAGTGAGTGACCATGTTGGATGTGATTAAGACAACCACTATGCATGAACAGCTTTGGGGGTAGGGGGTGTTTTCACAGGAGGGAGTTTTTGTCAGCTACTGAGGAAGGGTAGCATGCTGAGGGAAAGGGAGGTTGTCTGTAGAGGGTGAGGTGTACCATGCATAAAAAGAGATGTAGTGGGATAGTTAGGGAGGAAGTTAGGAATGCTGGTTGGGCTGGAGAGAGGACAGATTCAAAAGAGACTTCAAAAACCAGGAACTCATATTTCCCTTGCTTTGTGAATGCTTTGGCCAGGAAGCCTGGATTTGTTTCTTAATCAGTATAGCAAATATCTGTTTCTTTGCTGGGCATGGTGGCACAGGCCTGTAACCCCAGTGCTTGGGAGGCTGAGGCAGGAGGATCACCATGAGGTTGAGGCCAGCCTGGGCTACAAAGTGAGTTCAAGGCCAGCCTGAACTGCACAGCGAAACTGTCTCAAAAAGACAAAAAAAAAAAGTCTGTTTCTTGCCCTCACAGTTTATGCCTCTCTCTTGCCACCTTCCCTCACCTCCATTCTCATGTTTTCTTTTGGATCCTGTTCATTACTGGTGAAGGCCTGGCTTCACCACCCTCACACCCGGGCAGTCTTGGGACGTGCACTCCTCTAGTCATGGCCATGTGAATCCTTGGGATAGCGACTGTTCTTAAACTCTCAGCTTTCTCTGTCAGTTGCACAGCAGCCAGCACTTGTCCTCTGGTGGCAGCACACGCTTGTAGATAGGCCTTAGGATGGGTTAAAAACCTCACATGTCTATTGTATCCAGGGAAATGCACCATCTCCCATTTCCATCCTGATTCTTAACTGTAGATCTTGACTGTATACTTCTGTCATCTTCAGTGATCCAATGATCCACCTGGATCTGGTCGTGTGTATCTCCAAACCTCTCTTCATAGTAACTTTTTTTTTTTTTGCTTTCTGAGACAGGGTCTTCCTATGCAGTTCAGACTAGCGTTGAGCTCACTTTGTAGCCCAGGCTGGCCTTGAACTCACAACAATCCTCCTGCCTCAGCCTCCCCAGTGCTGGGATTACAGGCGTGCTCCACCACGCCCGGCCCTCTCTTCATTATAGACCATCCTCATATCTCTGGCTCAGGAGGCTGCCACTGTCCATGCTGGATTGCTGCAGTCAGTCCCTCTAGGCCAGCCTTGGAGTTAGTTGGACTTAGGTTGTGTCCATTTCATAATGTGGGTGATGGGCTCTTTACAAATGCTGGATAGGTCCCACATCCTGGGATGCTTTTCCACTTCAGGGTGGTATAAATAATATGTGTACCCAAGCAGGTAATGTTGAGAGTCTAGTTTTCCTATAGTTCTCAACAAGCTTACAAGGTAGTAGTGGTGTTGCTGTTGCCCTATTTGTTAATTTCCTGTCTACACAGGCTGATGGATCCCATGGATGTGAATATCAGAGCCATGGCTTAGAGACAGTATAATCATCAAGTTAGTGTCATAGTGTTTTCTGTTTTTCCTTGTGATCTAATGGTTGTTAGATAAGGTATGTAAATGGGAAATATTCTGGACATATCTATTAGGATTAGTGTGACTTTGACCTCTGTCCATTCTTCAGGGATATCAGCAACAAAGAATGAAGCCAGAGTTCTATGATTTATACTCCTTACAGTTTGACTTTTTTTTTCTGAGACAGAGTCTCCCCATGTAGTGCAGACTGGCCTTGAACTTACTTATGTAGCCAAGGCTGGCCTCGAACTCACAGTGATCATCTTGCCTCAGCCTCCTGAGTGCTGGAATAACAGGCATGTGCCATGCCTGGCTAGTTTGGCTTTCTGAATCTTCCTGTATAGCAGGTTCATGAAATGAGGGCCTATTCTTGGTCAAAGACTATTTATAGGAGAAAGAGGTCAGTTCTGTTATCTCTTCCAGCCATATCCTGAGCCTGCTGTATAGACTTTTTGAACATTCTCTTTTGCTTTTACCTGTCTTATTCTGCTAGTTGGCAATCTCAGCCTGCTTGACAAAGTTCTTGCCTTATACTTAGTTCTTGAATCTCTCGTGTTCTAGACTGATGACACAGTGACTCTATATAACAATTTTTCTGAGAGGGTTGATCTAGACACAACAGTATGCTCATGTTGAAATGAGATTCTTACAAAAAGGAAGTTGAATCACTGGATCTACCAGTTCTAACAATGGAGTACTGTCCCTCAGTGTCATCTCCTCAGACGTTGGAGGAAAATATTTTAGTTTAATTTGTTGAGGGAATTCCAGCAGTTAACGAAGAGAAATATTGCTCTTCTAACAACAGTGACATAAATGACAACAACAATGATAACAACAAGGATGACCACTTGAGTATCTACTCTGTTGTAGGCTTGATACTAGTACTGTTTTTTATTTTTAAAAATTATACCGGGCATGGTGGTGCATGCCTGTAATCCCAGCCTTCGGGAGGCTGAGACAGGAGGATCGTTGTGAGTTCAAGACCAGCCTGGGCTACAAAGCGAGTTCAAGGCCAGCCTGAACTTCATAGGGAGACCCTGTCTCAAAAAGACACACACACACACAAAAAGTAAAAATTCTATTGGTATATTTTAGATATACATAATGATCACATTCATCATAGGGAATTTGTACCTGTACACGATATATCTTGCCTCTTTTTTCCCCATTCTCCTCCCCTCCCTTCAACTCTTCTTCCCCTCCTTATTTACAAAAGCTTTGTTTCCATTTTTCCTTCTATTCTCTTTTTCTTTGTGTCCTTTCTTTGCTTTCTCCCTTCTCCTGCCTTGTTCCCCTTCTCATTTGAACATTTTCTTCCTGTTTCCCAATATCCATTATACATTTTGGTCCTTATTTACACTTTTGGCTTCTTACTTGATACTAGTACTTTACATTGATGATGAGGCTGAATTTTCATCATGATACTTAAGTGTTATTTATTTCCATTTTGTAAGCTAGGAAATTGAAGTTCAGAGAAAATAGCTGTCCTATCTAAGATTCTGTAGCTAGCAGAGGCAGAGCCAAAATTTAAGCCTAGATTTGTTTGACTCTGTTCTGCTCCGTATCACTAATCCAGCCTGTAGCCCCGAAGACCTTATCTGTAGTTTTTTTGTGCCATGTGACATGTTTCATATATCAGGGACTGTCTTTCTTTTTCATCTGGGAGACGTCTTTTATATGCTTCTTTCCTTCTTGACCAACGGCAAAGGACCAGTTCCAACCCCACTGCCTAATGAGAGCCTTCCTATCCACCCTGGCTTTCACCTTGTGGGATTTGCCTTCACTACAGCTGATTTTGGGAGACTCTACTGACTGACACAGTAATACAGTGAAGAGTCTAAGCATGTCAATAGAAAATATAGTGGAAAGGATCTGCCACTTTCAAGACCTAGGGAAAGTCTCTTGACCACACAGCTATCACAGCCTCTCTAGTTTTTTAATGGGAGCCTCACTTTCTCTAAGATTAGGGTTTAGCCACTGGGAGAACCTGGAAGGAGACCACTTTTGACATGCTGAGTTTCAAGGGGTTTGTAGTTGATCTCTGCGAGAGAGACTAGAGTCAACAAAAACATGGACTAGGGTTTGGAAGACATTAGACTCCGATTTTAGGGAATGATTTACATAGAAGGGCTGGAGATACAAGAATGAAGGGGATTTTTGAAGGCTGTGTGAAAAGAACTCTGAATAGGTTGTTAAGATACACATGTAAGTGCTAAAGAGGAGGTAGAGAAACAGTCATTTGGTAGGAATAGGGACTCCAGGAAGGTAGAGTTGCAAGAGCCAAAAATGAGAATATTTCAAGGAAGAGAGTAAATCAGGTATCATGTGGTACATAAAGATGGAAGAGATTGAGAACTGAGAAAAGGCTCATCTTTTTAGTCTTTGGTGAAACATGACAGGACAGTCTAGATACAGGGAAAAGTATGTTCCAGGATTAGATGATTTGATTTGGATAGAATGGACATCATATTAGGAAGTAGTGAAAAATGAATAGATTGAACCAGAATTTGTACATTTATGCCCAAAAAATCTACTATCTGGTCATTGGCTGATACTTTGGGGAATAAAGCTGGGGTGGGTATATAAAGTAGAGATAGGGCTCGGCAGCACAGAGAAAAGAGGTTACTGCCGTGGTTCAGTGGAGAGGGAAGAGAGGCAGGAGCAGGTGATGATCTCCACTTCCGGGGCCCAAGCCCTTGGTAATCTTGGTAATCACAGAACTGTTATCTTTCTTCTCAGGTGAGGGTGCTCCCATTTCCACACAAGTGAAATGCTGGTGCTTCCATTCCAGTAAGCTCTTTTGACCTAATACCCCCTTTTGGGGGACCTCGGTTCACATCTCATTTTAACAGTCCGTCTTCAAGAGTGTCTCGGTAAAATAGCTTGTTGGCCATTTACAACAGAGATGAGCAAGTGGGCCAGTAGTATATACATGTTAAGCTTCTAACGGCCTCAAAGGAATTAAGCTGTAGCCATACTTAGGTCCACCCAGTTTGTGAGCTGGAGATAGCATGCCTGCATTTCCATGCCCTAACTTTGATTCCCAACCAGCTACACTGAACTTTCTTTTCAGTCCTACTTTGAAATCACCCTTGATTTCCATTTTCAGATGTTATTTTGACACCTTTTCTAGCACAGGATGCTAGACTAAGGCAACTTCTGGCTGGCCCTGCTGGAACTCTCACATCCTACCCAGGGCAGTTCCTCTGGAGTTGCTGGAAGAGGAAGATATTTACCTGTCAGACTCTCAAATTCAGAACTGAGCTTCAGGTCATTCCTCACTGACTTTGCGGATTCTCTTCCTCAGTTGGATATATGACTCTGGGCCTGTCTTTTCACCCTTGGAGTAGGAGTAGCGGCGGGGGATGGTCCTTTTTTCTCAGGGTCCCTGGACTTGAACTGATCTTGCACTTTTCCTTGACCTTCCTAAGAGCTTCAGCCTTTAGGAGGCCTGCTGTATGCCCTGATCCTCTTCGTCCTGTAGAACATTATTTGGTAGATTGTAAGCTCACAGTTAGTAGTGTGCAAGTGGAAATACCTCATCCAGCCTCAGTGTTTTCTAGGGCTATTCTGGGTGCTCCTTTATCAGGGCATGTGAGTGACAGGTACTGAAGGAATAGAGGAAAAGGAATAAACTGATGAAGAAGGGTAGCAGAGACAGGAAATGAGGACTATGAGGGGAATCAGGAGTAGGTGCTGGTGGGGAGGGTAGTCGGGGAGGAGATTTGGACGGGAATTGGCTTTTTCTTCATCTGACCATCTTTGTGCTTCTCACCATGAACCCCCTCCCCCACACCCCCTAAACCAATTGCCCCCTCCTGGTCTGTAGGATGTGTCCAGTTTCCGGCAGGTTGAAAGACTTGAGAGTGGCCGGGGGAAATGTCCTTTCGAGCCAGCTCAGCGGTCAGCAGCTGTAATGGCTGGTGAGTGGGGAGAGAAGAACATGTGATTTCTTGCTCTAATTGCTTCCTTCCCCACCCCTGCTGTTGGAATTTCTGTGCGTTTCTTTCCTTGGGATGTCTGTTATTTCTCTGTCTCTTTTTTTTTTTTAGCCTTTCTTGTTCTTCCCTGAGTGCCTGTGACCAAAGAGGAATCTACTACAATGCATATTGTAATAAATTTGGAAAAAGCATAAAGGAAAACATAAGTCTAGAACAGCACTGTCTGAAATATCTTTGTATGACGATGGAAGTGTCCTGCGTCTGCCCTGTACAGTTCAGTAGGCCCTTGCTGTTGTGGCTGTTGAGCCTGGAAATGTGGCTAGTGTGACTGAAGAAAGGCAATTTAAATTTAATTTTATGTAAACAGCCCCATGTGTCTAGTGGCTACTGTATTAATGCAGTTCTACAGTATCTCTTCTTATAAAACCACTGCCAGTATCTTTGTGTATTTCTTTCTAGCCTCGTAAGTGTGTGTGTGTGTGTGTGTGTGCGTGCGCACCCATATACACTTAAGCACACACATTTTGCTGGCTAGTGCTTTGTTGTTTAAGGGAGTCAGTAATGACTATTAAATACATTCCTGTGGCTGCTTCCTTTGACCAAGCCATCTACAATTATGCAAGCGTGGAATGGTTCGACATAGATCATGTCTAGATCTCTTCTGGAGAATGACTAATTCTTTGGTAGCCAGACAGCAAATTGTTTTTGTGCCTCATAACTGTGTTTGAGGTTACACCACCCCGATACACCCTCCAAATTCATTGAAAATCTAGATATTTTCTCATGAGGGCATAATAAAACAGATCAATGGAGATTTTATGTATTGTAACACTTTTAAATTTTATACTTCATGGATATGAATCTGAATTTTGTCATGTATCTTTATTTAATAGGAATTTCTTTATAATTTGAAAAGTATAAAGATAATTTTAGTGGCATTATGTTACTCATCCTCTGAACATATAAACTAAGCAACTCAAAGTTGTTACCTTGTTTAGTTTACTCCAAAATTTTTCTTATTACCTATATTGCTGTAGTGGGTATTTTGTTCACTTTGTGGCCCTCATTTTAGATCATCTTAAAATTCCTAGAAATGGATTAGTACTACAAAGGGTGTGAACATTTTATAGCTCATTATCTGTTGCTAGTGGAGTTTTTAGAAAGGGTGTACCAGTTTACATCCTAAGCCAGCAATATATGAAAGTGTTGTTTTCTCACATAAATTTTACCATAATGTATTATAATCTAAAAAAATCTTTGCTAATTTGAAACTTACAAATGATACATTAAGCCAGGTGTGGTGGTGCACACCTGTAATCTCAGCGCTCTCAGCACTCTGGAGGCTGAGGCAGGAGGATCCTGTGAGTTCAAGATCAGTTTAGGATACATAGTGAGTTCAAGGCCAGTCTAAACTACATAGGGATACCATGTCTCAAAAAAAGATACATTATTCGAATTTGTGTTTCTTTGAACATTAGTGAAGTTGAACATTTTTCATGGTTAGTGCTTATTTTTATTTCTTCTTTGGCAAATCCTTTATTCATATTCTTGGCCCAATTACCAGGTAGGATACTACTATTCTGGTCTATATATCTTTTGCTTTGAAATCTAGCTATCCATCCATCCATCCATCCATCCATCCATCCATCCATCCATCCATCCTCCACCAACACCATCACCACTGGTACTGGGGATTGAACCCTGGGCTTTTGCACAGACCTTTTCTTCTACTTTTTATTTTGAGACAGGATTTCACTAAGTTGCTGAATTGCTCAGACTGGGCTTAAGCGTGCAGTCCTCCTGCCTTACCCTTCCAGAGTACTTGGATCCAGATTATATTTTTTTAAAGGTCAGTCTTTCTTTATTTAGCGAGCAGATAAAATTTTTTTCTCCTTTAATTTTTTTCCTCTTTGATATATTTAAAGTTAATTTTGATGAATGGTATGAGAAGGGGAATCTAAATTAAATTTTCTAACTAGTAGTTAGTTACTTAGCATCATTTATTATACTGGTTTTTCTTCCTTCACTGAGTAGTGCTGCAAACTTTATCACAAAATTGATATTTATCTATAGTTCTAGACAATATTTTATTTGAATCAAAAATTGGGACTCAGAACTTAACAATGAAATTTTTTCTTATGTATGATTTTATTTTAGGAGAAGTCTTTTTTTTTTTTTTTGGTCTTTCTTGAGACAGGGTCTTACTATGCAGTTCCGATTGGTCTTGAACTTACTTTGCAGCCCAGGCTGGCCTCAAACTCACAGCAATCCTCCTGCCTCGGCCTCCCACGGGAAAAGTTTTAAAAGCTGTACAGATTAAATTATTCTTTAGTTATATAAGTCATATATAAATTAATGACTTTCCTTTTTTTGAAACAAAATATAGTGTAATAGTTCTTCAAAGTAACATACCTGGTAAATAAATACAAAGTTTGAGTTGTCATAATTATCATTATCTGCTACTGAAATTGGTGAGATCTTACTTAGCTGTTTGAACAAAACAGTCTTTTGTTTTGTTTCTTTCTTTTTTTTTTTTGAGACAAAATCTCCCTGTGTAGCCCAGGCTGGCCTTGAACTCATGGTAATCCCTCCTGCCTCTGCCACCCTAGTGCTGGGATTACAGACGTATGCCACAACACTCAGCTCCGAACAAAAGTTTAGTGAATATTTTTCTTGGCTTTTATCAACATTTTTGGCAAAAACTCTGAACCATTCATTGGGATCATTAAGAAAGATTTTTGAGTTTTAGCCATAAATGTCTCTTTATCCTTCAAAATAGTTTGTCAACATAAATAACTTCTGAGTTACAGTAATCCAAAGTAATCAGTTAATATGCTTTGTTTCAAGCAGTAGTCTTTAAACACTGTGACTCTGAATAATTCTCTTTGTTCAGTCAGCAGGCACATTTTATAAATCAAGTCAATGCCAAGTGAAAAGAGAGAGCATTTCAGAGTCTTTTTTTTTTCTCTAAATAATAATACTCGGGGTGAGCCAAAGAAGGAAAAAAAATTCAGGATTGTTTTTTGAACTAGCAATTCATAGAAGTGGTCAGAATTCATTTTTTAGTTGAGAATGGCTGTCTCCAGTTAACAAAGAACCTCTGTGTCTCTAGATACTGCGGATTCAAATCACAGTCTTTACCAATATTCTGAATTTTGTCTGTAGTTCTTACTTTATAGGGCTATCATTTACAATTTTTTCTTGTTCTTGTTAAGTGCCAGTATTCACTTGGGGCTTTTAGTATTGATCCATTATGTCTTATTGCCCTTCTGTTTTGAAAATGTCAATATAGAAACTAGTGCAAATACTATGTAAGAATTAAACCAAAATTCCCAGTTAGGTTTATAAAAAGATCCTTAACAATAATAGAGGTATTTTGAAATTTTAAAAAAGAGTTTTTAGTCATGAAAATGTTACTGGGCTATCATACCAGAAGTATTTATTTAAATTATAAAAATTACAATGTGCATTGTAGAAAATTTAGAAATACATAAAGAAGAAAGTAAAATTTTTATTTGGAAATCTGTCATCACCAGGTAATTGCTGTTATTATTATTATGGGGTATACTGAGTATTTCCTTGTACTGTGTTGATCTATATATGTGTGTATTTATAAATAAATTGGAATTATCATGCTTATTTATTTAGTATTAAGCATTTTCCTGTCATAGAAATTGTATAATTATTTGCCTTTTTTTTTTTTTTTTTTTTTTTTTAGACAGGATCTAACTCTGTAGTTCAGGCTGGCCTTGAACTCACTTGTGCCTCGGGCTGGCCTTGAACTCGCAGAGATCTTCCTGCCTCAGCTTCCCAGTGCTGGGATTACA